GTAGGCCCGTGTGCTCAGATTTGGGTGCACGTTAAAGAACCCCGGGTGGTCGAAATTTCCAGAGCCCTCCACTACGGAGTCTCATAATCATATGGTGGTTTTGGGACGTTAAACCCCATATATCAATATATCAGCACTGAATCAAACAAAAGAAAGATGGCCGCAATATTCCGGACATCGAAGGAAAAGAAATCGCAGGTTCGTTATACGCGTGGAAGAACGAAAGCAGGCACTCGCCTTTGTCTGACGTTGACGAAGAGAGCCGACTGTATACGTCCAAACTGTTCATTTGGCCGAACTTGTGGCCGGTAAACGGCAACTCAGGTTATAGATATGCACACTGGCCTTTATTTTGAGGCGTCGGACGTCGATCAACTGATCCGAGGCAGCGCACGTCGGCATTTATACATGCCACATCGAACATTCGAGTATTATACCACCAGTGACCCCGTTTGTTCTGGAATCAACTCGGCTGTTCGCGATTGCGCGCTCAAGCCTAAAAAAAAATCATCGCAAGATAACCTCGAATAATCTCAGACATTCTGGCGCGATTAGCGCAAGGCACTATCTATACACGTGCGATGCGCCGACATCTTGAAACACGGCAAGAAATCGGAGCATGCGTGGCACTGTATAGTTCACGATGACGATGAAAGATGGCGTGGCTATTTATCTGTCGGGGTGGCTGACACAATTGGTCGATATGTGGGGTTTAACGTCCCGAAACCACCATATATGATTATGAGAGACGCTGTACATATATTGGAGCACTCCGGAAATTTCGGCCACTTGGGGTTTGTTTTTTACGAGCACCCAAATCTGAACACACGGCCGGGGCCTATACAGCATTTTCGCGGGTTGGGTGGCGCAGAGTGCGGCGCATGAAAATATCTCGCGGAGATTAACCCCACCTTTATTTAATCGCATTCTTATTAGCCGTTTGAGTGTGCAGCGATTCCAGAAGCAGCCGCACTGGATATAGGCGCTTCTCTGTCGCAATTATATATGCTCGCAGAATGCCAGTTTACGATGCGGTTGGTGTTGCAGTAAGTGTTGCGCAGTGGCTTTCATCATCTTCGTTGTGAACAAGCGACCCGTAGCGGCCTCGAAATTCCAATTTTGTGTTTGTTTGCGTCGCCCGAAAAGTTTTCGTCGAACCTTGGACTATAGGTTCGTTAGGCATTTGCCAAAGACGACTTTAATGCGAAATTCCACGTTATTTTTCAGTCAGTGTGTATTATGGATTAAGTGGCTTACGCTCAAATCGTATGACCACGACTTGTTGCGGTGAAAATAAACTTTCCTGGCGCTTCTCCCTTGGGGGGTATACACTGAAGCGGACTTTGTTGTTGGGTCGACGTGTTTCGTCGAAAGCGAAAAGTTGTTCGCCCTCGATCAGCTAATATTATTCGAACTGAAGTGTTTCCTCGATGAGACAGCGCACCTGCGCGAAGAAAATAACGTCTACAAATTAATAAACCACGGATACCTGTGCCCCGCCACGGTGGTCTAGTGGGTAAGGTACTCGGCTGCTGACCCGCAGGTCGCGGGATCGAATCCCGGCTGCATTTCCGATGGAGGTGGAAATGTTGTAGGCCCGTGTGCTCAGATTTGGGTACACGTTAAATAACCCCAAGTGGTCGAAATTTCCGGAGTCCTCCACTACGGCATCTCTCATAATCATATGGTGGTTTTGGGACGTTAAACCCCCCATTAAATCAATCAATCAATCACTCACGAATACGTGGGTGCAACGCTTTCGAGACAACAGCGACGAAAAAGAATTGTGATTAAATCGCTGCGAAGTGCACCTTTAACGGGTCATTATGAAAGGTTTTTTCGACATGTACAGATAGAATCACGCGTGTCTAGAGCAGCGGAGAGCGTAGACACCATTGTTGGCCGCAGCTTCTACCTCAAGTTAGCTATACACGCTTTCGTTCATGCTTGAATCGTAGGCCCTATGGGATGTGCTATGGCCACGTTTGGTATCATTACGTCCTCGGCCTTCGCATATTTCCGGGGGAAAACGGCAGCTGCAGTGGCCAGCTGGACGCTCCTGATAAGTGCGATTCCGTTTGTATACGTATGATGAAGTAAGGGCGATCGGAAACGTCGCCCTTATTATTATAAAAGTCACACGGTTACTCACGCATTTACGACTCGAACGCGAGAGCTATCTTTTAAGGCGAAACCCTTAAAATGCCTTCGCAAATAACCAAACGTTTTTTCGCGTTTTTACGACACCTTATGACACGGTGACGTCATGACATGACGTCGTAGCTAGGTAATAAGGGGGTCCGATCACGGAAGCAATGTAAAACCGGGCGAGGCGTATCCAATCGTTGGGGCAGTGCAAACCAACATTACATTCGAAGGGCCCTCGAAAGCAGGGCCCCGCCGCGGTGGTCTAGTGGCTAAGGTACTCGGCTGCTGACCCGCAGGGCGCGGGTTCGAATCCCGGCTGCGGCGGCTGCATTTTCGATGGAGGCGGAAATGTTGTAGGCCCGTGTGCTGAGATTTGGGTGCACGTTAAAGAACCCCAGGTGGTCGAAATTTCTGGAGCCCTCCACTACGGCGTCTCTCATAATCATATAGTGGTTTTGGGACGTTAAACCCCACATATCAATCAATCTCGAAAGCAGGATAAGCACAGGGGGCGTCAAAAGTTCCCAGGCCACGCTGCCATACGAATACATGGGATAGTGGATTGGGAACTGTTGATATGCCCCAGTACGTTAGCTTAGAATAAAACGATGATGGCCGTCCCCTTCTATAGTGGTTTTGGGGTGAATCTATAATGGACAATGTAAGTCTCCTTTTTTTTTCTTCTTCTCAGTTATTTGAATTGCCCCCCCCCCCCCGGAAACTTTATGCATCTTTTTGCGGTGCATCCGCGAGATGGGCCTACGTTTTACCATGAAACGACGTACCGTGGCCACAGTAATATCGTGACGTCACAATGAAGTCGCAAGGTGATGGTGATTTGCGCACGTCATCCCGTAGTCGTGAATTTTCGCATCGCTTCGCGTTAACAGCGACGGTACACACTTAAACCGCGTCAAATGATGCACGTCAGGCTTTCGCCTTAAAAATAAAAAAAACAAGAATACACCGCGAGCCCTGTGGTTAAGGACGATGAAGCCGAGTGATTACCACTGAAACGATCAAGCCAGTCACCAGCCGCACTCATTTGCATGCACGCAACACTGCGGTTCTCACACATCACCGCGCATGCCGCGGCCTTGGCTCTCGCATACGCCATATGCAAGAAGGGAACGAGACAGTTTAAGGCAGGAAAGATGCTTTCGAGGAATGCAAGTTCCGTGAAGAACAATGTACACGGGTCAGGAAACAAAGGATTGCACGAACAGAGCCAACGAGCTCTTACGCCAACGGCTAAATTAAAAAAAAAATAGTGACGAGGTCTTCTGTTATAGATAAAGGAAACGAGCCCATCTGCACTTTTGCTTGGCTTCCCCGCATGTCCCCTTTAATGCGATTGTGGAACAAATAAAAAAAAATTAAATACGCATCGACTCATCTCACAGGCGTCTGCGTTATGTACGCAAGAAGTGAAACAATCGATGGTATCGAATCCCGTTAATTACAATGACGAAGAAGCCAACAGACAATATCCGTCATGGCGGCCTGTGTAGCAGTACCGGCGCTCTGCCACTGACCCGAAGGCCTTGGCGATGTCAGATGGAGTGATGTCAGAAAATCCACACGGTCAAAATTTCCGAAGGCCTTGGGCGATGTCAGAAGGAGTGACGTCAGAAAATCCAGATGCTCAAAATTTCTGAAGGCCTTGGCGATGTCAGAAAATCCAGATGGTCAAAATTTCCGAAGGCCTTGGCGATGCCAGATGGAGTGATGTCAAAAAATCCAGATGGTCGAAATTTCTGAAGGCCTTGGCAATGTCAGATGGAGTGATGTCAGAAAATCCACACGGTCAAAATTTCCGAAGGCCTTGTCGATGTCAGATGGAGTGATGTCAGAAAATCCAGATGGTCGAAACTTCCGAACGCCTTGGCGATGTCAGATGGAGTGATGTGAGAAAATCCAGATGGTCAAAATTTCCGATAGCCCTCAACTACGGTATCCCTCATAACTATATATGCTGTGGCTTTGCGACATGACGCCGCAACAATTATTACACTATTAACACACAAAAATAATGAAGAGTATGTGAGATATTTCGAAATATTGTGATTAAGGAAATCTACCAAACTGGAAAATACGCGCACCCATATGTTCAGAGAGAGCATGAATATGCTGTCCACATATATAGTGGACAAGCATACCCACAAAAACGGACAGAAAATGGTGCTGCGGTACAGAGCTTGGATGGCGTACGGTAACTGGGTTAAGAGCATATCGCACGCGTGTAACGCGAGGACATGGGTTCGCATCCCACCAGCGATTTTTTTATCTTTTTGTTTGTTATGATTAAGTGAAATTATGTCATCCGCGCAAATTTTCCTTTTTTTGGTTCTCACTGTTCATTGGATTTGTGCGATCATGCCAACGGTCGTGTGCGGTAGTGGAGAATTCAAATTTTGAACAATCTACAGTTACCAAACACAGCTCTGTTTATTATTTATTTATTTCTTTATTTATTCCTTTAATTATTTTACTGCCGCCAGTATACGTAACGCGGACATGATTTCGGTGCGCACGTTTAGTTCGACAACCAAACCACCTTTGACAACAGCACAATTAGAGGTTCGAAACAGAGCCTCCAAGTTGTTCCTGTTAATTGTGTACATGACTGCACTTATTTTCACTCTCTATGGTGCATATGCTTGCAACGTGAGACGGAAAGAACGCAAGCACTGGTCGTCATCGCCCAGCTTGTTTATGCGGTATATATGTCTCGCTTCATCACTTCTTCTGCCCGTTTGACGTGTGTACACGACTGTACTGACTTTCGCGCTATGTAGTGTGTATGTGCTTGCAATGTGAGATATATATAGAGAGAGCGCGCATGCACTGACCGTCATCGTCCTCGACCCGCGGCGTGATGCCCGTCATGATGGGGAGTGAGATCATGACCATGCCGGTGGCGCTCCACATGTACTTCATGAGGAACTGCTCCAGCATGATGTACCACAGCCGCTGGTTGAATATCAGGTTCATCTGGCGAGCCAGGGCACGGTAGCTCTTTTGCAGCAGGCCCAGCTCTACCTGCGAAGGATACAAGAAGGTATACGAGTTGTCGGAAGTTATAAAGGCATCTTTCATATCGAATAATTTACCTACGGTGAAGAAGTACCTACGGTGATGAAGTACCTACGGTGATGAAGTACCTACGGTGATGAAGTACCTACGGCGATGAAGTACCTACGGCAATGAAGTACCTACGGTGATGAAGCACCATTTACCTACGGTGATGAAGCACCATTTACCTACGGTGATGAAGTAGGTACCTACTTCATCATTGGTACCTTAAGGGTACCAATGATGAAGATGACAAGGAGAAAGGAACGAGGGTATGTCATCATGAGAAATGGAAAGAACGACAAAAAAAGGGGGTAATAGCTAAAGTACAAACGTAAAAAAAAACACGGTCTACCTCAAGTGAAAACAGTATACGAACTGCGCAGAATCGATTCGCCTGTTTTTCCCGTGTAATTTTTTTTTGGAGGGGTGTGGGGTCTTTCATGCTGTTCCATTGTGTTTAGCTGCTCTTTTATCATCCTTTTCGGGTGAATATGGGGCATTTTATACCTTTTTTTTCTGTTCTTTTTCTAGAGAAAAGTTCCCATGCTCCGAGGCGCGGTGCGCGTCTATCTCCCAGCGCTGGCGTTTCGCTGGCTGAGAGACGAACTATAGGCCTTCGGCGACCCTGCTGACGTTTCAAGAGCAAGCAAGCGCTGGCGTTACAAACATGGCGTGTACGAAACGAGACACCTGCATGACGCAAACGCCAGACGTAAGACGGTGACAGGGCGGTTCCCCTAAATCTGCCCAGCAGTTAAAAGTATACAGTTATTTCATAGGCAATCAACGCTAAGGAGAGAGCAGTCATGACGTGGAACGTGTCTCCCTTCGATCGCTCAATGCCCCCATGCGTACAAACGCTGATACTCATATACTACCACGTCTCGCAGCGCATGCGCAATACCGCGGAGCTTCCGGCACATTCATTACGGCGGCGGCGCGGTAAACGCAGACGACGTCCGAACGACCATGACGATCTCTTGGTCTACGCTGGAGATCGTGGAGGTTAATAGGATGCGCCGGCCATGCCTTGTTCGCTATTTTACTTTCTCTCTCTCTCTCTTTTCGCCCTTCAGTTATTTCACTTCCCGCTTTCGTTCGTTAGCCTTTCAGGCAATGGCACGAATCTGCGCAGCAAATATATTTTCTTCGAGACCGCAGACGTCCACAATCGCAAGCAGACGACGACCATTCGGGAGCAGACGACGTGATCGTCTGAGTTTGGCAGACCATCACCGTTTCGTACCTGTTTCCTGGCTCGCACACGCACATGAGGTTTAAAGTACCGATTGTCATCATTTCTACAAGCTCACCATAATGAGCACATGATGTTTTCTCTCTTTCTTTTCTTTATTTGATGATCTGCCTATTATCGTCAAGGCATGTGCCACCGCCTGTACATACGAGGCAGATGCGAAACTACACGCATGCCGTCTCGACGGGCTCGCGGTTCTTTTCGACGTTCAGCCAGCCAGGCGCACTCATTTATATTATTCGCACGTTAACCTACTCGGCAGCGTTCATTTTTGGCGTGCACACACACACACAAGCACACGCACTCACACAAGCGGCGGCGGCCGATCGAACGCCGCAAAGAACTCCCTCTCCCTTCCTTCAAGTTCCTTTCGCTAAGCCTAACGGCGTCACCGACATTGAATTGGGTCTTTTCGTCATCCCGATGGACCTTTTCCATAACAAGAAGAGAGACCTCTCGTCTCTTCTTGTTCTTCAGCGCCGTCGGGACATGTGAACGGCAGAAGCCGGCGGCAAAGCCCGCGCAAAGGCGGCGGGCTAGCCTCGATTCCCACAAGTTCGATGAGTCGTCTAATGCTTTCGCCCGCAGACAATGTGACCTTCATGCATAGAGAGTGAAGTATAGGAGTGTGCAAATACTGAAATCACAAACCAAATCGAATACAGATCGGAGAGCGATGATACGGAATCGAAAACGAATACAAACCGGGTATAACATTCGAATAGTTTTCAAATAGGAAGGCAGTCATGTTCAAAGTAGCCCTAGAATGGTAATATAAGCATTTTTTTTTGAAATATTCCATTAATTCCACATTTTATTCGAAACAAATATTCACAAGCTGTAACACGGTAACATATTGCGATTACTTTTAAGCGACAAAAGTATCACAAATACATAAAGTGATGCGAGCTTGTGTACAGCACCGACGGGATCCTAGGAAATATTTTGTAACCACGAATTGAAAACAGTAGCGATCTCAGTATTCAAGTCGGCGCGTTGAACGGGGCTGACTTTGCACCCCCTCCCCTCTCACCCCCTCTCCTATCATGTCAATGTATGGGGCTGGCTATGCACCCTCTTCTCGCCCTCTCACCCTACGGTCGCACGCCTGCTGGTCTTTTTTCGACCACTTTACTTACTTCACATTTGTATCACAAACATAAGAACTGCACGACTGATAACGTTCCCTATATATAGCTTCCTCGACTTCGTTATCTGCTGTTTCTAATTAGAGTGCGTCCCGCAGAGTATGGCATCCAGGGATACGGATCGATCGCGTGGAGCAGGTAAACAATCAATAACTGCGCGCGCGCCCGAAGGGTTCCGTATTTCACCATGCTCCTCGGGGAAGCCACTACAGCCCGATCCACAACAGACCGAGCCGGAAGAAAGGGGGGGGGGGGGGGTATCTTCTGCGGTGCCATCGATTCGTAAGTATACGAGCCTAGCTCGTGCTATATAGCTTGCATGCACGCAAGCCAGACACTGACTAATGGATTGATGATTGATATGTGGGGTTTAACGTCTCAAAACCACCATATGATTATGAAAGACGCCGTAGTGGAGGGCTCCGGAAACTTTGACCACCTGGGGTTCTTTAACGTGCGCCCAAATCTGAGCAGACGGGCCTACAACATTTCCGCCTCCATCGGAAATGCAGCCGCCGCAGCCGGGATTCGATCCCGCGACCTGCGGGTTAGCAGCCGAGTACCTCAGCCACTAGACCACCGCGGCGGGGCCCTCTGACTAATGAAAATTTGCGGTTTCCTTGTTTAGGGGGAGACGAGGAACAGCCAAAGCTTGCAGCGGCATCGTGGGACCCCGTGACTCACAGACACAGTGAAGCGAGGCAAGCGTGGCTAAACTTGTCGCGCACGACGAAGAGCACGGACGAAGAAAGTGAAGGCGGGTCCGGCACACCGGTGATGCAGCGTAACTTGGGAAAGTAAAAAAACGTGAGCTTGTTGGCATGGCTTCATCGTATAAAATGCGCGGCCACGTGGCAAAGCGCAAAGCAGTGGCGGATCCAAGAGGGCGGAGGGCGCTAGGTGCGATCGCCCCCATCCCAATCTGTCAGCACCCCCTTCCCCTCTCTTCAGCGGTTGCAGTCCAACTGCTATCACCAGTTAGGACACATGAGTGGGACCACTGTGAGCATATAAGCAGCATTTATGCCATTACAGGGTTTAGTAGTAGTAGTAGTAGTAGTAGTAGTAGTAGTAGTAGTAGTAGTAGTAGTAGTAGTAGTAGTAGTAGTAGTAGTAGTAGTAGTAGTAGTAGTAGTAGTACTTTTATTTACAGTAAGCCGGATACAGAGCTCACTGCAGGGGCAAAGGGCTAAAGGCGAACAGCCTGACAAAGGCCCTTGTCCTTGTTTAGTGCTAGCAAAAACAAAAAAAAAAGTAATGACCACGCCTCCCATCTAGTGTTATTTAACTCATATCGCACAGTATACGGGCCTCTGTCATTTCGACCCCGCAGAATTGCGACTGCCGCTGCATGGATCGAACCCACGACCTTATAAGGGTCAGCAGCCGAACACCTTTACCACTGCTCCACCGCGGCGGACGAAGGCGTATAGGCCACCCATGGAGTATCACGGTTAGGAATGGTAACCGCAAAACCGCAACTGTTGCCACTTCGGTGACCACTCCGTGTTGTCTCTCCTGTGTCCCGTGAAGTCCCGCAGTTACCTTACCAAGTCGCAGTTTTTTACGCGTGAGACCCCAGATATCAATTGAAGTAGTATTTCTAGTAGATTGCACAACCCCACGAAAGACCCGCCACGGAGAGAAATAAGCGGAGGGACTGGGAGGTACCCAATAAGCGGAGGGACCCAGTAGTACCCCGAGCACCATAACCACTATAGACCACCGTGGCGACCCGCCACGGTGGTCCTATAGTGATTATGGTGCTCTTCTGCTGACCCGTTGGTCGAGTATCGGAGGCGGAAATGTTGTAGGCCCGTGTACTCAGATTTGGGTGCACGTTGTAGCCCTCTACTACAAATGCTGTAGCCCTCCACTACGGCGTCTCTCATAATCATATATTGGTTTTGGGACGTTAAACCCCACAAATCAATCAATTGGTCGAGTATCGAATAATGGCCTGCTTGAGGCCCGTGTGCTTAGGCTTGTGTGTTACGCTAAAGAACCCCGGGTGGTCGAAATCACCGACGCCTTCGGCGTCTCTCACAAATCATATCGATAGTTTTGGCGCGTTAAACTCTAACAATTATCATAGCCACACGAAAGCGCATTGTCCTGTCTAAACTTGCTTCGGGTCCTTCACAGGGTGCTGCAAGTTTCAGCAAACCAGAATACCACCAAGTCAATTCTTGCATCCTTTCACGTGGTTAACAAGAGCAGAAGACAGAGAGAATGTAGGAGAAGTGATACCCGGAGCAGACGTCCGCACACCTACACGCCATTTCCGTGTAGATCAAGTGAAGAAGTGCCCGCTGACTAATGGACTACGGTCAATTACGTCCGTCTCCCTCTTTTGCCTCCGATCGCGGAGAAACCGGGACTCGTGCATATATACTCGCCGACGTTGTACGCGCCATATTAAAGGGACAGCAAAGAAGAAAAAAAAACGATTTTCCTCGAATTAGTAAAGAGTACAATTTCGAAATCTTGTAAACACCACTCTTACCGCGACACGACGCTTTGTAAGCGAGAAGACGCGCTCAAATAAAACATGCGCGTGG